CTGGAAATTTCAAATAAGGGTGGAGCGGGTACTTATCTGGGTCTTCCAGAATGTTTCAGTGGTTCAAAAGTCGATATGCTCAACTACCTTAAAGATAGACTAAAAGCAAAGTTAGCAGGTTGGTTCACTGGGTACTTATCCCAAGGTGGGAAAGAGGTGTTGTTAAAGTCGGTTGTGTTAGTGATGCCCGTTTTTGCTATTTTCTTGCTTTAAATTACCTATTACAACCTGTGAAAATCTTGAGAGTGCAATGGCTGCTTTTGGTGGGATTCGTGTGAGCATTCAAGAAATATCCATTGGCAAAGTTGGGAGCGGCTTTGTTTACCTAAAGATTTTGGTGGACTGGGTTTCAGAGACATACAATCCTTCAACCAGGCTCTGTTGGCAAAGCAAGCGTGGAGACTTCTTCAATCACCTGAGCGTCTTTTTGCTAGGTTGTTGAAGAGTAGATATTATGTGAATTCTGGGTTTCTTGAGACTGCTTTAAGTGCTAGACCATCTTTTGGCTGGAGAAGCATTCTGGCAGGCCGTGATATGCTTTCAAAAGGCTTATTAAAGAAGGTAGGTAATGGTGCTTCTCTTTTTGTTTGGATTGACCCGTGGATAGATGACGATGGTTTCAGAGCACCAATGAGGAAAAACTTGTTTTTTGATGTGGCTCTTAGAGTCAGCTCTCTCTTAAACCCGAGAACAGGTTTATGGGATGAGGATATTCTCAATGATCTCTTCTTTCCTGAGGATATTATTAGAATCAAAGCTGTCAAACCAGTCATGGCTCAGGAGGATTTCTATATCTGGCAGTACAATAAAAGTGGCGAATTCTCTGTCAAGTCGGCTTATTGGCTAGCTGACCAGGAAAAAAGTTTGATCCTGCGAAATGCTGCAAACGTCCAACCTTCTACTCTTGAAATTAAAAAGCTTGTCTGGACCGATCCTAAGATCAAGATCTTTTTGTGGAAGGTTCTTAGTGGTGTTTTGCCGGTGGTAGATAATTTGAATGGTAGAGGGATGAGTGTTGATGCTACTTGTCAGGTTTGTGGGGAGATGGGGGAGTCAACAAATCATTTTCACTTCCTTTGTCCACTTGCTAGGCAAATATGGGCTCTTTCTGATTTTCCTTCTCCGGAGTATGGGTTCTTTAATGGTGGCATTTACTCTAACATCTTTCATCTTTTGGTAAATAGAAAAAACAAGATGTGGCCAAGTAACCTTAGGAAAAGTTTTCCTTGGATCATTTGGAGAATTTGGAAAAATAGAAACTCTTTAATATTTGAAGGTACCTCTTTCTCTGCCCTTGATTCTGTTACAAAGATTAGAGATGATGTTGAGGAATGGTTTGATGCTCAACGTGTTGATGGTGATGAGTTTGCTCTTCTTGGTTCCTCTCACGCTATTGAGCCGAATATTGACAGTCCTTGTGGTAAGAGATGGGTCTGTCCTCCGCCTTCTTGGTTAAAGTGTAACATTGATTCTTCGTGGTCAAAAAGAAATAATATGGCTGGAGGGGCGTGGGTTCTTAGAGACGAGAAGGGATTGGTGCTGTTCCACTGTAGAAGAGCTTTTGGCTCCATTTTGAGTAAATCTGATGCCCTCCTTAGATGTGTTTTATGGGCCATGGAGAGTATGGCAAGTCATAAAGTTGATAGGGTCATCTTTTCTTTCCAAGATAAGTCTCTGGTGGGTGATGTGATGAGACCTATTGCATGGCCTTCTTTTAAAGCGCAGTCTGTTGCTTTAAATCGTTCCTTGTTACCTTTTGTGAATTGGAAACTTGAACTTGAAGTGGCTGTAGCAAACAGAGGAGCAAACCTCATTGCCTAGAGTGTTACAGAGGATCCGCGTGTTCAATCTTATGTAGCAGCTGGTCATCCCTTGTGGCTTAATAATGTTTTATTGAAGAGGGGGGTTTATCTTCTGTTTGTGTGAGAGTACTTTGGTTTTTTGGATGCTCAGTGTTTTGAGATCTTTTTGGTTTGGTGTGAGCATTGTTATGCTCTTGTAGCTCTGTGTTTTTGAGCTCATTTTTGGTATAGTATTCTCCTGTGGGTTATGGAGTTGTGGCTAGATTGGGCTAACGTGTCCCAGGTTTTCTTGACATAGTGTAGCTCTTTGTAACAATTGTGACTCCTTTGGAATTTTAATATAATCTCAGATGACAAACAAAAGTAAAGAAAAAGAAGAGAGAGAAGTTGTAATAGCTCTTAGTTAAGAGGCGTTATCTTAAACCAACAGACACGTGCACGTTTATTAATGGGTTATATATATTAAAAAACTAGAATATAATTGTAGCATTAAAATATTATTATTTTTTATGTTTTTAGAAATTTGCTAAGGAACGACCGATAATGTTGCTCTAAGTCAGAGTCGTGCCAAGACTAAGAGATATCGAATTATCGACTAAAAAAAAAGGTGCCTTAGTTCAATAAAAAATAAAGATTACACCATTACAAACAAAAAAGTGCCCTAGTTCAATAAAAAATAAAGATTACACCATTACAAACAACAACGATTAGTGATTATTTACGATTAAAAAAATAAATTGGATGAAATCGTTTAGAAAAACAGAGTAAATAGTAAAAGAAAACTAAAAACTTGAATAATTTTACTTAATTTGGCGAAAGATATGTTGAAACTCCAGAGAAAGTTTTATTTAATTAGTTTTGAGAAAAAAGGTAAAATCTAACCAGAGAAAAAACAATATATCGTTTTTCTACACTAATCTATACTAGTATTTTTGAAGTACATATCTATACTAGTATTTTTCAGTCACTTTTGAGTCGGGTGGGTAAAATTGTTCTCGAATATTTTAGATACCCGACCCGTTTACAAATTTTGGTCATAAAAAGTTTGTTGGGTCGGATTATATTTAACCCAACTCATACACCGGATATTCCATATTTAATAATTTAGATATTTAGAAGATTTGATTAAGATTTAGAATTATGATTCTCCTATCATCTTTGTTTGATTTGTTTTTAACTGTTTGAATCATCATATAATACATAAAGTAAAAAAAAAATCAATTTTTTTTTTCTACATATACTGTGATTCGAAATTTTAAAAACGGACCTATATTATCCAATTGACGAAAATGTGTGTTCAGCGTTCTACATCGATTAAATTATTTAGACAATAATTCAGGATCATATTATAAATAAGATCAACATTAATAATATAAATGAGTTTTTTGGTCGGACGGGTTTGGCGGGACGGGTTTTTGAATCAACAATAATAAAAAGATTAAAATCATTAATCCGCCGCTTCAATACGGATTAAATCCTTATTTTTTTTTAATACCACTGATGTGAGTCAAATTAAGACCTAAGACTACTCTCTCAAATAAGAGATTGTGTGTAGCACTTTAGGGTCGAATTCCACAAAGCTCTCGTGTTCACACAATAGACTAACATGGTTTGAATTAAGCTAAACAGGAAATTAAGTAAATTAAAAGACAAGAAAGCAATTAAAATCGGTTGTAAATTCAGATAAGGAAACGTCAGGCTTAGGGATTTCTCAGGAAATAAACTAATAGTAAATCTAGCAAATTAATTAGGATTATTTAACGAACCGTTCCAGAACTCAAATTATAGATATCAAATTAACTACCTCTCGAATGAATTAACTCTCTATGCCTAACAATAGAAATTCCACCTCTCGATGTGAATACTTAAAATTAAACAAGCATTAAAGTCCAAGTTTGATATGTTCACAAAAGTACTAAACCACCTCTCGATGCGAATAGTCCTTTTGTTCACCTAAGATTATTTCAGGAAATAGATGACCTCTCGAATCTACCTATTATCCTAAGATCAAATTCTAGGTGATCAAGCTAGAATTAACATTAAGAACAACGTAGATGAAGAACTCTATAGATTAATCCTAAATGGTATCGATTTACTAATTCACCTAAATCCCTAATGAGAATCCCTAAACCTAACAAGAAAACTAACAAGAAAACTACT